TTTTATTATATTTTATAATTCTTATTTATTTATTATTATATTAACTATGCAAGTTTATTAAAGCTTGTATATTTGTATTTAGGGCTCAAATGCTAATGAAGTCTCGTTTACAAGGAGCACAAAAGGGACATGGATTATTGAAGAAAAAAGCAGATGCACTTCAAATGCGTTTCAGGATGATCCTGGGGAAAATTATAGAAGTGCGATTAATATTTTGTTTTTAATGTTATTCTTTAATTATACATCGTACATTGTAGTTTATTATTTACTTTAATCTTATTTGTTTTAAATTTAACATTTTATACATTATTTTATATATATATATATTTGTTGTCTGATTTCTGTATTGATTTCTTTTTACTTTTAGACCAAAACTCTGATGGGTGAGGTGATGAAAGAAGCAGCTTTCTCATTGGCTGAAGCAAAGTTTGCTACAGGAGATTTCAATCAGGTAGTTTTGCAAAATGTAACAAAAGCACAGATCAAAATCCGTTCTAAGAAGGATAACGTTGCTGGTGTGAATCTACCGATATTCGAATCTTATCAGGATGGAACGGATACTTATGAATTAGCAGGTCTTGCCAGAGGTGGTCAGCAATTGGCCAAACTGAAGAAGAATTATCAGCGAGCAGTGAAACTGCTCGTAGAATTGGCGTCGTTGCAAACAAGTTTTGTTACTCTAGACGAAGTTATCAAGATTACAAATCGACGTGTTAATGCTATCGAACACGTTATCATCCCACGAATTGAGAGAACGCTAGCTTATATTATTTCAGAGCTTGACGAGCTTGAAAGAGAAGAATTTTATCGGCTGAAGAAGATTCAAGACAAGAAAAAAATTGCTAAGGCAAAGGTATTAGATAATTTATTGTATTAATTTTATTAATATTTCGTTTGTATTGATTAAGATTCTAAGAGTACATTCTATTTTATTAATTAATAGTTATCTAAAATTTTCTAAAGCATTTTATTTCTGTTATAGGCCGAAGTGAAAAGGGCAGAATTGATTGCAGCTGGACTTGATTTAGATGCTGCAAATCTACTCGACGAAAGTGATGATGATGTGCTGTTTTAAATATTGTAAATAATACATTATAAATATTAAGATGTTGATATCTAAAAAAAGAAAAGATATTTAGAAATGTATGTCACAGTCACGATAGTCTTATTTGTACATTTTAAAGATTGTCGTTGATGATCCGTAAAATATCTATCTAAACAAATCATTGTTATCTATTTTTTTTTGTTTATTTCTTGAAAAAATACATTTTACCGTATTTGTTGCACAGTAATTTGTAAAAATAAGCAATTATCTATATATATATATATATCATGTTAAGAGCAACAGTAGCGCTGTTATTTCTTAAAAATTATTCCGAATATTTTAATTCTAAATAACAAAATATTTTAATTCTGTACATCATAAATCATTCCATGATTATTCATATTATTTCCGGTATTTTATGATAGAAATTGTATGATCGGATAGTACAGCAACAATTATAAATATAATAAATATGTACATACATATATATGTTTATTTATTTGCATTATCTCTCTCTAATTATTAATACAATTTGCTTTATCATTTTTATTCTGTTCTTTGATTTTCAAAGAAATGTTAACAAAATATTTGGTGTTAAAAAGAAATACCAATTTTGAACGAAATACCAATTTTGTGATTTGTATCTGATTTAAAATTTTATTACAATTTAGATCAATTTACTATTTTTAAGTAAAATTGAGATTGCATGATATAATTTCGATTAAATTGTAAAAATTATAAATAATTTTTATATGAGCATAACGTGGTATATAAAAAAATTTTTGTTAAAAGAGAATTTGTGAATTGTGAATAAAATTTGTGTAAATTATAGCAATTTTCATCGCAAATTGTATAAAAATAATCAAATTATTTTTTTATTAATTCTAAATTAATTGATTTTCCAATTAACATGGCACAATTAGTCTGTTCAATTGACCCAGTGTATTCGCCAGCAAACTAGGTCGATCAATATTACACGGAGAGAAGAGAGAGGTGGCGATTTTCCCATACGAGAGGTGGTGACCACCCTTCTTCACGAAGAGGAGATGCGCGTGTGGAAATTGCTCTCAGTGCGCGGCGGAAAATTTGCCCACCCAAAACATGTCGTCGTCTTCTAGCGAGGATTGTCTGACGGTTGTGGATGTGCCGGAAAATCGCTACGACGAAGCGATCCATCATCTGAGATTGAATTTCTTCGCTGATGAACCGCTCAACAACGCCGTGGGGCTCTGCGCGAGAGGGGAATCTCAACACGAGCTTGAGCGACACTGTCTGCTCACCTTGAAACAGGGGTACTCCAGGATGCTAGTGGATAAGAAGGGAGCGGTAAAAGATACTTCTCGCATCAATAAATACACAAATAACAATTTTTATTCATTTTATTCGTGAAAAAATTAAAAATTAACTTTTTCTAAATTTTTTTTGTTTTTATTTATTTATAATTGTTCCGATATTTTTTTACAATTCTTCAATATATCATTTTCTATATTATTCATAACTATTTGTATTTAAAAATAATGATAATTTTTTTCTATTTTTCTGAATATTTTCTTTATTATTTTCTCCATAGAAATCAATTTATAATTTTTATATCTTTATTAATTTATTCTTTTATTTATTTGTACAATAATTAAGAAATCGCAGAAATTTTTTATTAATTTTATATTTTTAAAACGGTAATTATATTTTTTATTTCTATTATTAATTAAATTTTAACTTTATTCCTATTCATTCCTATTTAATTTCTAAAAGTTTCAATATCTAATTTAAAATGATGAATATTATTAGAATCGATTTTTTTTATCAGATTGCGGGAATGGCACTAAACGGTATTTTGAAGAAAGGTGAGCGTGAGGAGGCAGAACGACGTCTTGCTGAAGTGGACGACGAAAAATTCAAGACGATCTTTGGACTACTCTATAAAGTAAACGATAAGGTTGATTTGTTTGCCAAATATAACGTGGATGAGCTATTTGAATGTCGTATCCTTAGCGTTGACGCAGATTACCGCGGTAAAGGTTTGGCCAGTATTCTCTTGGCCGACAGCGTTGAAACCGCCAAAACCGCTGGTTTTAAGGTAAATTAAGTAACTTAATTTTAATATTTATTTGTAAATTATTTATATTTTAATTCATTTTATATATATATCTTCTATATTTAATGTATATATTTTTTATCTGTCTACATTTCATAGGATCATTTAGGATTCTAATTTACCATATCTTTTCATTTTTCATTTTTCATCTTTTTCATAATTTATCTGTTTATTAATTATATCAATTATAAATTTATTTTAATTTTTCGGTATACATAG